CTGCGCTGGATCTCCTATTAGGTCATCCCATTCAACACGTGCCCTATATTAGGTCATCCCATTCAAACGTGCCGCTACATATAGAGGAATGGCAGAAAAGCAAAGGGGATAGAGCAGCGGGCTACTATACCATTTGGAAGCTAGTACCTTAAGCTGTGTATCTGTGAAATTTGGCGAACCTAGCCCCAGAAGAAGTTCTCGAGAAATTGAAAAGAAGCCCGAGTGGTGAAAATCGGCGCCGGTTTTTCAAATCAGACGTCATAAGAGGAAAGTGCGCTGCTCAAATTTGACCTGCGCCGGACCATAGTTGTGTGTAAGGGTGTTCTCGAAATACACGGTGGAAGATTTGGTTCAGGAGCCCGTACAAGGAAGAAAGGAAAAAATTTGTTGTCGTGGATGGTCCCATAATATTCATCCTGCACAAGAAAAACGGGTGGATGAAGTCAGGCACTGAATATCTGATCACAGAGCCTGGACCTTTGTCGAGTTTCCCCGCGAGACTGACATCCCTGCTGCAATTACTGTACGTGTTATGACCGATAAACTGAGGATGGTCAAGGGGGTGTGCGCATGGGTACCCAATTTTCTTATAGAAGCACGAACGCAGTACCGATTCTATACCTCTAGCAGTAATGTTCTCAGCATGAGATGTCACTCACAACTGTGAAAACGCACCCAGGCCTTAGATGAAATATGGGTGGTCTCGGACCTCGAGCCGAAACTCACAATCGTCAATTTTGTATGAATGCAGATGAGAAGCCGCCCGAGTTCTACCATGAAGAGTTACGTGGGCGCAAGTGGATGATCATCATAGCAAAGGATTCCCACACTGTGGCTTTCAAGCGGCTCTATACAGAGAACAAATCCGTCACTGTCGGTGCATATTGCCTGTTCCTCGGCATTCAGATCGACAAATGGATGCTACCACACAACTACAAGAAGGCCACCGTTGCTCGTCATAGTGCCAGACCCCGAGTAACTGTATTGTAGATCAGTGCTGGGACACAAACAATACTGAGACCTGGGTTCAATCGCCCCATTCGCCCGTCATAAAGCCATGCGATTACAACTGTTCTATTCAGTTGAGAGTACTCTCCGACGGCAGACGCTACAATGTTTTGTCATTTGCCGAAATTGGCAAACAGCAATTTACCCACACTTGTTGAAAAATCGAAGGTACCAGAGGTCCAAAGGCCCTCGGGGCACTCATCCTGAAGCTAAATATCACTTTTCTATCTATTCTCCCTATTTGTTTTATTCAAATAAAACCGGCGGCACGTTTGAATGGGATGCACCTAATAGTACAGCCCCCCCCCCTCCCCCGTAATGCCCATAAGAAATTCTGCTTTCCTTTATTACAGATTTTTATATGCAGTTTTGGAAGTTTCTTTTAGTTACGAGTTTTTCGTCGGTGTTTTTTTGTTTTTCGCACTTTTCTTTGCATCGGATGATATTTACGACTGGGAGAAAGCGCTTTGTGAGCCAGGGGTTGCACAGAGACTGTAGAGCGGTCTGACTGTCAGGGATGCAATTTTGTTTATGATGTTCATGAAACATCTTCTTGGGTTTTTTTTTGTTCTTTGGGGAACTACTTATCAGCTACTGGTTCATAATTGAGCAGCAACTATCCATGACACTTAATCGCGGAAATTGTTTTTAATTTCGCCGTTTCCTCGATCCCGTTAACGCTACGCTCTTCACTTTTGAGTGCGACGGTTGTCGCGCTCCAGGTGGAATATCAGCAACAGTTCCGGAAAAAGTATAACCATGCCTCTATCCAGCACAAGACAGGATGACAGTTGCCTCAAATGGAAACAACTCGTCGTACGTTATGCCCAAAAATACGCAACCACGCCCTCTCCATCTCTAGGATATGAAGCGTAAAATATGTTTGTGTGGAAACTCGATGTATTTGTCATTTTGATCCAAGAAAGACCCAACACCTCTTGCTCCTGACTAGACTCCCAGTCCCTCCTGCAGTACCATGATAATCACCAGTTCTTGTGCTACTGCGAGGATCTGCTTCGAAAAAACTTGTATCTATTCTGTTCTATGAACAACTTTTTTTTTCAGATTTATTGACATAGAATCTGACGTATATACATACGACATAGCGACGGTACCCGCTTTGCCAAGCGAGAACCAAAACTTTAAAAATAATTTTCCTGAATCCGATATGCTCTATCAAGTTAGGAAACTGGAACCAGGCACCAATCCACTACTGAAACCTACCACACTATGCGTTCCATCCTCCATCAAGTTGAAACGCCCACAGGATCACCCTGAAACAATAACTTACATTGAAAATAAAGGAAACGGAACTATTTTTCTATCTGGTTTTAGCCATAAATGTAGCTCCATATAGGACATGTTGAAGAACAAAACAACCTATTTCTCCCAATTCTACCTTCTTCCAACTCGAAAACAACGTTCGGAATCATCGAACAAAAGTTTGGCACAGAGGAGCGCTAAGATGAAGCCTATGATCCACTTTGGGTCTCGAGGACATTCGAACGATGGGGACACTTTTATGAGTTGCCCTTTTGTGCTAAATTACACAGAAGAGGCAGACTGTACACTCACTTCAAAGCACGCCCTGTCGTTGGAGAAGATTTTGAAAAACACGACCGTCCCTCGAATGATCCTCCTCTGCTAGGACCCCTCTTCATCCATCCCACATCCTACGTACCGTCTCCCCATATTTCTGCTACCTTTCCGGGGAGAACTCATCTTTTTTCCCCGAAAAACTATCGTCGAGGAGAGGGTATACAGCGTGAAACGGGAAAAACCAAGTGTAGACAACAACGTAAAATGATTGCAATGATATGGGCAACGCGCCCTGGTATGATACTCGACTGTCGTCTGCATAGTAAGTCCGCGCTACAGCACTAGCGTCGATTCTAAGATATCGCCGCGAAATACGCACACAGCGGTGGAGAACAACCAGAAGTGAGAGAGCCCAGACAAGTAGCGTGTTCGGCTATGGTTAGGGGTGTGGCTGGCCGTGCGGTGGCATGAATGGAGTTGAGAAATGGCACTCGGGTGAAATTTCCCTACGGCCTTGTTCGCATGCACTTTAGAGCAGGGACACGGAACGCTGCTGTAGCTGCAAACTCAATTCATCTCACACAAAGCAACATCCAGGATCCATGGGAGTAAGTTTACAGTTTGCCTTTTGAGATCAAGCGCTGGAGTTGCAGTGATAAAAGAAAATCGTCTTTTCGCACTCTTTCCACTGATTCGCGCTGATTCGTCATCCTACCTAGTTGGATATCTATGCCCATTAATGTCCCATAAATTCCGGAGTCAGAACCATCCGTCAAGTCACAATCGCGGTAATTACGGTCCATAAACTGAACTTTCAAAATATGGGCGCATACTAAGTAAAGGTAGCTGGATACTATCCAAAGTTTCACCCATGAATATACCCCCCCCCCTGCCCACCACCACATTTCCTGGGCGTGAAAGAGTCTGTTGCGTCAATGGCGTCCCGCTAATGGGGTGGAAAACCGGCTTGTTATTCCGGCGCCTGTAGCCCTCACCCCAAGCGGAAA